CGGTTGGTTTGTAGTTGGCGGCCGCCAGGTTACGCGGTGCGAACGTTTATGTTGAAATTTCGTACAAAACTAAATGATTTTGACGGACACGAGGCAAATATGGAATAAAATCTTACGCACACAAACAAGGAGACTGACATGACATTTTATTCAACCCTCTCATTTTATTCTTTTGTCCGGTTATTGGTACTGTGGTTGTCAAACAAAAACATGCTGAATTGTTGACTACACCATTATTTTATATCAACTTATTTTAATTCCTTAATTTTAGTTTCTCTTGCAGTGCGTTCCTTATAAACTGAAATTTTTCTCCCTAAAATCAAAGCACTTCAATCTTCAGAACATTTTGTATGCGACTCATCAACTAGTATATCTTCTTCCCTTAAAACATGCTGACTAGGTTGACGTTTTAAAAATAAAGTGAATGTAATTGGTCCACTAGAAAATCATCATACAAATGGCGTTGGATGTAAGATGCACTATATTGCGGTTGACACTAAAAACAGGTGTTTATTCCTTGGTCACCAGCTTATTTATTCTTCTTGGTTCCCCTTGACCGTACACTAGGGAAACTACCCGGATGTAATGAAGTAAAGGCATTTCCACATTAAGTGGATAAATCATCTACCATAGAGGCTACACTTTTGCTTTTAGTCATAAGTTACATCAGGCTTCCCGTATAGGCGTTTCGAATCAGTCTTCAAATATCCTCAGCCTAATAAGGGATGTTCTCATATTGCCTTGCAACAAGAACGCCAGGCATCATTTTATATTTCTGTTAATGAGTACGGTTTATCAAAATTCCACACATGGAAACTCCAAAATTTTGCAAGGCAAATAAGCGGAAACTTCGGTGGTAAGCCGATCCTTTATCGTTGTCTTGGATTTCATTACAAATGCCCGTAAAGTGAAGCTATGGAGAGCTACTAGTGTGAAGGAAATTGGCTATAAGACCTTTGGAAACTTCTGTCTAACCTGTGTGTCAACTTTTGCGATGGCTTGTACAGCACAAGTCGCACATTATTCTGTCATACTAGACTACTACTAAACGGCTAACACATTATAGGCTGTGAAAAATTGTGGTACCATTCGTCTTGCATGTTTGATGCGCGCAGTTCAAACTCATGCACTGACAAGGATAAGCATTACTAATGAGCTCCAATATGAACGAACTTCGAGTTCAGTGGTCCCCTCCTTTGTTGTGAACTCACCGAAGCATGAGGATGACTATTTAAAAGAGAGTGATGTGAGCGTGCATTCTACAACTTGATAAACCCACAAACAAAGGTTATTTTTGCTAACGTTCAATAAGTCCTCCTACCCTACGAACACAAAATATGTATTGTTCCCCTTCAGCTCAGAACATCGTTCTGTGAAACGGTGATGGTATTCTCCTTAAACCCATATGATAATTATCAACTAAGCGTCTTCCCATAGTTATGGGATCTGGAATAACACACAATTCTGATTATTCTTCCAGTCCACGCGCTGGGAGGCATTCTAAATTACTAGGCGCCAACTGTGATAACAACATCAACTGTTCACCAGTCCCGTGGGAAAATGTGGTACTAATGCATTCTACCAACCATCGCACAGAAGACAACAGGAAAATTTATAGATAACCAATAAAATTTGTCACGCATAATTCAAATTAGATAATATTCACCTTTGGTTGGTTAACTTTTGCCTAAGGACGAAAGGAATGAAACAACAAAAGTGCTCTATACATAAAATGCAACCCAATAAAAGTGAACCGATTACGTCAAAGTAGGGTTAGAAATGTTCTTGCTATTCAGAGTAGGATCACGACACAATTAATTGTCAGGTTTATACGGGATTTATGACCTGGTGTTGTCATCTTTAGACTGCAGGATAACACTTGACCAGCCCAAATGGAAAGACCGAAAAATCCCTTCTCTGTACGAATTTCAGGTGGAAAGAGTTGGTTACTTCTAGCCTCATCAGTCGAAGAATCGCATAGTTTGACCATTTTGAACTGATGTTTCAACACCTGTCACATTATTTCCAATGCAGTGCCTTAATCAACTGTGTGCGCCATGTCAACAAGGAGGGCTAGAATGAAACCTGGACGTTTACCTGCACTTCTCAGTGTTTTCCAGTCAGTTCGGCTAAGTGCCGCTCCACATCCCCTCAACAATTAGCACTACATTCACACTCAGATCCTAAAACACCCATCAAATCTGTTGATACTGATATTTTGCCCTTGTGTTGCAATCTCAAAAGAAATGAGTTTGCGAATTCAGCCCCGTAGAACATAAGTATTCTGTTAGCCAAGATCCCTTGACTTTGGTACTTTTACGAATATTTCTATCCTTACTACACTCCAGACGTTCGCGTCTCACGTTTTTTACTTTGACACAGATGGCATACCCTCAGTGGTACACAAAACATCTGTACATCACCTGGTGTTGTTGATGCCTGAAAAACTCTGATAAAAGAACCATTTCATCCCTCAGTCGAAACTTCGCCGGAGAGAAATCATGACAGTCACTGCACAATAAACTCTCCTATGGTCAAGGCGAGAACCGTTCCATCATAATGCTTTCCATGGAAAGGTTCGCAGGACTTCCAGTGTGCGTAGTTGAAAAACGTAGAGAACACTGCTTGCTGTCACTTACTAACCAGAACGCCTAGCTAACGAATGTACGTCGTTTTGTCACTTTTTGTTGGAAGCCTACCTTGACTGATCCCGCTGATGGCTTTTTGCTGTAACAAGGTGTTCAAATATGGTTGCTTTGAAAGATTCATGAGCTTGCATCCTGGCATATTCTCAGAAGACATAACTTGGTTGCAATGAATTGCCACTCTTGTCCTTTATCCTTACCTTTTAACAGGACCTTGTTTCACCGAATGCGTATGGGAGTTAATGCGTTTCCATTGCAAGCATTTTGCGTGGGGCACAGAAATGTCTACCTTGGGTATCCACACTCGGCCACGATGGACCAAAATTTACGTATATATGTATATATATTTACGCATATTCCTACCGCCTCACGCCACGCACAAAAATCCTAGGAGGACGATTCCAAACCTGAACATTTTGTCTGAATATAAGGGTATCTTTGGGGAACTACATAAAATCTCAAACTTAGTAATTTGACTAACAGGACTTGTATTTTCTCATCAGTTTTTATTCAAATTTAAATATTTCCGCAACAGCCACACTATTAAAAAACGTTAGGCATCGACTCAGCGATTTCCTTCCATATGATTTTCTAGCCTTGATAATTATGAGGCTTATTAACTTAACATTATTGTAGGCATTGAAGCTACCACCAAATATACAAAAGTTTAGTGACAGTTGCAAGCCACCTTTCCTGCATTCAGCTTTACAAACATCGAGGTCTCCTCAGTTTTGCTACCCTTTCTTTGTCTGTGATGATTGAAAAAACTTGGGAACAGCATCCATTTTTGTTGGGTTTTTTTTAAAACGAAACAGTGCTAATTTATTTGCATTGTTTGATTACTAAATTAAAGTCAAATATTCGACAAATCGGATGTACACAAGATTAGAAGAGGGTTTTTTTTAAAACGAAACAGTGCTAATTTATTTGCATTGTTTGATTACTAAATTAAAGTCAAATATTCGACAAATTGGGTGTACACAAGATTAGAAGACGCTGCTTGCTATTGGTTGCGTTTGTTTTTCGTTTCCCGTCCAACTTGGATGCACTTAAATCGGCGTCGTAAAATTTCTACTGATATATCTGCATCAATTTCTAGCGCATCTGTGAAAATACTGAAGAGTTATTAAAAACATACCTAAATGTTCGGAGTGAAATTAAAGTGTCCGGAACAACGTTTTGAGTTTGACGTAAACTTTACGGTTTTGCAAAACCCGCGGAATACTGCGAGCTAATTTCCCAGCAGATAAATTCACGACTTTCATTGCAAGATTTCTCACTAAGTTCCGGGTTGTTTGAAGTGAAAAAATGTAACAAGCACATACAGCTTTATGCATCGGTCATTGTATGCTGCATTTTCTGTACTTTAGTGGCTGAACAGTACCTTGGGTTATGTGAAATATACGCGTAAGTAAAAAACGACATGAATGTATTAAAAAATGTTATTTAGTAAACGTTAACCCAGTCCTTCATTCCGCCTTCTTTTGACTGACGGTCTATTTGGATTGCTCATTAGACAGATAGAAATAGCTCAGCATTTCGTTCAAATAGTTTCATTTTGACAAACTTCTGAAATGAAGAAAACATCATTTCGAGAGTTAGACTGGAATTGAAGGTTAGGAGTCGAGGTGGGCTATAGAACATATCAGTGGCTACTTCATACATAAGATAATATATAATAGCTAATCGTTCAGCCGTTTCGGAGCCTAGCTGTCACGCTAGCGCAAGGATGCACAGTGACCCAGATAGTGCCCAATGGAGTCTAGACGGGTGCAGCCGAAATGCTGAGTTTGGATTGGAACCACTGACCTTCTTGACCGTAAGCTGGCACCTTAACCACTGAGCTGTCTCAAACCCATCATACATCAAACCAATATCCTAATATGTAGAACTCCTGAGAATAGTAGCAACAACCAAAAAAATCAGGACATTAGTTTTTCAACTCTAGTTGCGCCAAAGATCCGCAAATACCGGAAACCTGTAGATAAGTATCTGATGATTTTGACAGGTAAATCCCCTTTAGGAAAACAACTGAACTAATGATTTCTCTACTCTCAATGTATATCTTGATATTCTAGCATTTAGAGTGCCATTTAACAAGGAAAACGATGAAGCCTGAGCGAGAATTATAGTGAGAGTATGCTAGGTGGAGAGTGGTAAAGGATCGGTCTGCAATCCGATTTATTTCCAGCCTGTTATCATGACTTTTCTGCTCCTCACACTGCCTGTTTTCGTGGACATGCATCCACCGTCACGATAGCTATTGGTGTAGTGCCATACAATGTATCATCCACAAACATGGACGGCGTTAAGCTACGTGGTCTAGGCTGCCTCGTTCTACGGGTAGTAGTGTGATAGCTGAAATTCATTATGAAGCTTCAAACTTAATGAGTTGTTTGCGGCTGGGCTACATCCAAATAAATCATTTCAAGACAGTTGATACATCCATAGTTCTGTTGATAATACACTGTTGCAAACAACTACGAAAGTTGGTTTATGTTCTCAAGTGGTATAAAAACCAGTGGTTGGGGGAAAAAGGACCATGCACCGAATTGTTTGTAACCGTTTCAGGTCCCCATAGCATTTTCAAATTCCGTGTAACGAAAATATTTCGCAAGATAAGCAACATAATTGTTTCCAGGTTTTCCGATGAACTGGGTATTCCACAATTCTAGAATCGCAATATTCTTTTAGAGCATGAAACAGGGTAGGAGCTGTCATTAGCCATCCATCCAGCAAAAATTCTCATTGTGCTGTCCAGAATTTTGTGGGGTAATCGACCGACACGACCAAGCTGTTACTTGGCAGCTGGTCCAGGCTTCGGGCTCAACAGTCACATCAAGCGTAAACAAGCACACCTGTTCGAACGTGAAAATTCGGATGGGTCCAGCCTGCGTTCGTGCAACAAGCATAAAACACTCGTTTCGCACAGCAGATTCGCGAAGTTCAAATCCATGCACGACCAAAAGTCAGCACTACTGGTGGGCCTTAATAAGAACGAAATTCGAGTACAGTGCTGTCCCTCTTTGCTGTGGACTCACCAGAATGATTTAACCAGGAGAGCAGGACGACTGCTTGAACGAATGTGATGGCAGCGTGGATTCTATCCTTTTCGCGACCACCCACAAATAATTCCATATGAAACAACACCAAGGAAGTATATAAATGGGACTCTTCTTTGGATGGTCCGTGCAGTGAATCGAGTTCAATCCTAGAAGACTGGTTCTGTGTTGACGTGAAACTTATAATAGATGAAATCATTATGCAACTTCTCATGTTTTTGTAGTTCAGCAGTCTTCACGTTAAACTATTGTGTACAGCAGTTGGCTGAAAATTTCTAATGATTAGCCCATGACCTAATAGGTCCCTTAGCCAACAGAAATCGATTCTGAGACTTAATTTTCTGCTTGTTTTCACCGTTAATGCATATGTGACATAGATTTCCTAGTCTTTCTACCCACGGATGTAGCTACCATTTCACCACCCAAACCTTATACACAAAGCCATCGACACTCTAAATGTAATTATTCTGTTTATTGTAAATGCACTTCTGAAGGTGTCATGCACCTAAGATGACAAATTGCGGGGCGTAGCTATGTTTAAGTTAAGGCGACTTGTTGCATTATATGTTCACGAGAGTAATTGCATTATGGGAGAGAATAAATAGCACCACCGAAATTTTTTTGTTAAATGTTTCTTGTTAGTTACCCTCATATTCAGCGGATGCAAGAAATCCTTAAGACAACATGAAATAGTAAGCCGCATCAAAAACGTATTCTTTTGTATGCACGCTTTTTTTGTCACACAGCAACCGTAAATGTTACCTTGTACTGGCTACGGTTATTTCTATCGACTTATTTTCACCAAGGCTTTCGCAGATTGAAGTTCCTGACGCTCTCTCCGTCTTTTTAGTAACAGTTGAGCGAGGTCTTTTAATTCTGGGTGCGAATCGTACAAATCTTCCTTCCCTCCCTCACAGTTCTTCTGACGTTTTCTGAATTGTGTGGATTAGGAATGAAAACAGAGTTTTTGTTACTGTTACTGAATCAGAATGGGCAGAAATACTTACCCAGGAATCCTAACAAAACAACCTCAATATTTTCGCCCTCTTATGCTAGACAGTTGCCCCTATGTGTTGTGTTCAGATTAGGACCATCAGTGAACATTTTTACAGCTAGTGTTGTTTCGGCTACATGTAGTCGTATATCATACTTGGCACTAGGGTATATATGGTTCATTTAGTCGTTTAAACATACAAGTGACAGCAACGTATTGCTCTAGATTTTTTTAAAAGCTGACTTCGTCGTTACCGATCCGGAATTTCTTCCATGGCTGTTCATATTTGTCAGCAACTAATTAGTTTCAGAGAAATTTCTAATAACCTGGACACTCGTTAAATCTAATGTACACATTTGGCTTATCGAGCCTACTCCCGAAAGTAGCTCAGAATAAAATCTCGCAAGAATCACTCCGCCATATTTTTGGTCCCTACGAAAGAACCCACTTCTCCGTTCCTCAAGTCTCCCGTAAAAAATAAAGATGTCTATGTGGATTTAAAAACTAGGCTGAAGAATAAACTACTGGTGTTATTGATGACAAGCTATACGATTCTTATCACAACTCGCATGGATCTTGTGATGACCAGCAACCAACACTCACCATGACTACGCGTGGATCAATTTAAAGTAAGTTAGATTTGTGGATATCGAAATTACACTTTTAAATAAAGCTGTATTTTTAATGTTCCGCCATGAACTAGAAGGCCGCAATTTTTATTCTTACGTAGTCTCATCTACGAATACTTGGTTTTTTGTTTTGTCTGCTAACATTCTGAAAGATTAACATCGTGTTGTTTCTACGTCAGCAAGTGTTTCAGCAGATTTTGAAACGTGTAAGCAAAAGTTCCAAATCTATATTTGATCGTTACGTTGGAAAACAATCATCTATAAACTGAGTTCTTTTTCAAATCCTAACAAATCGCTGACCTAGAGAAAGGCCGTAGCTACTTGGACAGACCAATAGTTCGTCAGTAATGTTTCCCAAAAATGATCCGTTTAATTAATCCTTTTCATCCAATTTAGGCTCTGTACAAATTTTATTGTCTAAATTTAAAAGAATAGATTTTGTTGTAGAAAACCGTGCATACCTTGATTCTAGTTACTTAGCACGAAATAACTAAAGAATTAATTTCAATTTTTACCACTGCCTTCACACTCACCTTGAAGTCGTTTTTGCATTCCTAAAACAACTTATGAGTTTCTGGAGCTCAGTGATATTTTCACTCTTGGTTTGTCGTTGACACTTTATGTCGTTTATTTTATCGGCCAAAGTGATCGAATTTTGTTGTCTCAGGAGAAAGAGCCGCTCCTTTAATTCGGCCAAAGACATTTCACTCAGAAGACCGTGTCCCGGAATATCCGTTGGGTCATACTGTAACAAAGGTTCGATGTTATGAAAGATTATATTATATAATGTAACAACATATACGTATATACATATAATAATATATTATGTTATTATATATTATATTATATTATATTATATATCATAAACCTTCTAA